CCCCCCCCCCAGCCAAGAACCATAAAAACCATTCTTTGAACCACATATGTCTAGATCCAGTCCTCTTCTCCATGGCTTACACTTCTTCCCACATTGAGAATTCAAGCCCACTGCAGGGAGTAGAGAGCAGACGGTAGGTATCCCCACCTTCTCCTGGTATACCCGGAAAAGTCATTGGCCTTCCGTGTACAGACGTAGAGCCCTCAGGTGACACCACATCGCCCTCAACCTGCAGCCCTTCCCCCACCCCATCCTAAACCCAAAGGAGAAGACAGCTTTGGCTCCAGCTCCATCGCCCACTGTCCAGGAGAACTGTGGGGCCTTCCTTGGGTCTGTTTCTCATGTTGTTAGTTCCCTTGGCTCACTGCGGGGCCTGGCATCAACTGTGTGTGGTCGGTTCTGACAGCCCATGGACTCGGCAGACACGACAGGGCTTTTACCTGCTGCCTTAGTCTGTGTCCTGTTGCTAATGATCCAATGCCACAGACTAAGCTGTAAGGAAAAGAAGTTTAACTGGGCCCAGGCCATCTAGTGATGGCCTGCTTCCTCACAGCGTCATGAGATGGCACACCAGATGGTAAACGACAGGGAGTGTGAGAGAGACCCAGTCAAACTGGCTTTCATAGCAGACCCACTCTCCAGATAAACCCGCTAGGCCTTTAATTTGCTCAGCTATTAATCACATGAGTGGGGTTAACCCATCCATGAGACCCTAATCACCTTTCTGAGGTTCCACCTGACTTCACTTCCTAATAGCTCATAATGAGGATTCAATTTCTACATGAGCTTGGAAGGAGCAAACCATATCTAAACCATAGCACCTAAGATTCCATATCAGTGCATGGCAGCCCTCTGGTTGGCCTCTGGAGGGGGAAGTGGTTGTTGATTAGGTAAAGAAGAAACAGAACTAAATTCCAAATTAGGGGAGGTTGTCAAATTGGAACTCATTTTTTTATGTGTGTGTGTGTGTGTGTGTGTGTGGTGTGTTCATTTATGTATTTATGTATGCATATGTGCATACAGGTGCACATGTCTGTGCAGAGGTCAATGCCAAGTGTCTTCCTCAGTCCCTCTCCATCTTATGTTTTCTGAGACAGTGTCTCTCAATGAACCTGGAGATCAATGATTTGGTTTTATGGCTGGCCAGGGAGGCCCAGGGATCTACCTGTCTCCACCTGCCTCCTGGTGGAGGGCTTAAAGACGTTAGCCATGGCCCTGGTTTTTCCATTGGGGATGAAGATGCATTTTACATACTGAGCATCTCCCCAGCCCAGCTGAACACAAGCTCCACCTTCCTCTCTCTATAGAGTCCTTGCTTGTGTCTCAAGGGCTTTCGCAGGCAGAAAGCCTCTCTCTCTCTCTCTCTCTCTTTGCCAAACATCCGGGCTACTTGTTCTGGACCCACAGGCAGAGCTCAGTAGCACTTCAGACTGTTTCTTCATCCCACTTCACCAGTGCTGTGTGTAGTAGACACACCTTTGAATCTGTGATGTTTAAGTATATAGTTCCCTTTATTTAAATGCTTTTTCCCACGAGGTGCCTTTAAATGACTCCAAGTCTTGGATGCCTTAACTCTCAAAGCATCCAACATTAACGCCAACGTGATTGCTAACCCAGTACCAGCAGCATCCCGGAGGTCAGGAAGAGCTAGAAATGAGCCACAAGACAGGAAATTGGTTAAGTGTTGAGTACTGCTTGTTGGCCAGATGGGAGACATATGGGGAAACTGCACACTGGCGAGGGTGTCATCTTTACCCGGAACACACCGGAATGTGCTAATGAGTAGACAATTCTTGCACACTAAATCACCTCACATAATCATTGGTTCTTGGGGAACAGCTCACCCTGAATGACCTGGTATTCCCGTGTGGCTGTTTGACTTATAGATCAGGGAGTACTGTGGGTATGGCTCTTCCTGGCTCTTGTGAGACAACTGATGAAGCCTCTACAGAAGAGTCAGGCACTGGCAAGTTGAGTTATAACCAACTGAACAACTATCCCTGGAGGATGCTGGTATAACGTGTTGACCTATTCATTTTCATTTTATTGATTTGTGTGTGTATGTGTGTACCACATGTGTGAAGGTGTCTGCAGAAGTCAGAAGATGGTATCCCATGCCTGGAGCTGGAGTTACAGGTGTTCGTGAGGGTGTTCAGAACCAAACAACTGAACTGTTTTGGCAGCCCCAATACAATTCTCTTTAACCAGCAACTCAGGCAAAAATTTGTATGACCTTGGCAAATGTTCAAGTGATGCCAAGTCACAAGGTGATAAAATCAGGGCTCCACAGTCCCCTGCTGGACTGGAACTTGAGTTGGAACAGTCACAGAGCAAAGGAGATGGTGCGAGGCAGTAGCATAAAGCACACGGAAGTGTGGGTGTGAGTTCTGGGTGAATTTTTTCCATTTGATAGGGATGATTTGGGCTGCAAGGGACAACCTGACTCAAGATGTGGCCATGCATCATGTATGTGACAAGGGAGACATGAGATAGCAGCAAAAGGTGGGAGAGCTTTGCATCTCTGAGGTACTGTAGGTAGTAGCTCTGCACTGGAATGATTTAACCCCAGGGGACATTTGGCAACAACTAGATCCACGTTTTTCCGTCGTCATATCTGATGGAATGGGATTATCTGCTGGCATTTACTGTATAGAGGGAAGCCAGTGGTGCTGCTAAGCACCTACTGTGTACAGGATAGCCACCTCAACAAAGAGTTTCCTGGCTCCAAATGGCAAGAGTTCAAGACTGAGAAACTCTGACTTGCAGTAATAAATATCTGTCCTTGAATGTGGAAGGATTGCAGTCCCCAGCATCAGATGGGGGTAGACACATGAGCAAAAGTGGGTTTGTAACAAAGGAGAGAGACAAAACAGATCTCCATACAGCGAGCCATTCATGTTGAACAAGGCTTATTCCTCCCTTCCGCCTTTTCCCTCCGTACCCACCCCCGTGTGTGTGTGTGTGTGTGTGTGTGTGTGTGTGTGTGTGTGTGTCTGTGTGTCTGTGTGTCTGTGTGTGTATGCATGTGCACACACACAAGTTTATGGACACCAGAAGTCAGCCTTCGGTATTGTTCCTTAGGATGCCATCCTCCTTGTTTGAAACAGTCTATTGATTTTTTTTTCCTGGAACTCACCAACTGGCTAGCCTATCCAGACAGTGAGTCCCACAG